TAACCATGAACCGTGAGCAACTTCTCATTTCATGGACCTGCATATACGTGGGTGGATAGAAAATTGAGCAGGCATATTATCTTGAGATTTACGAAGTCACTGTAGGCGCCTCGTCGTCGACGGGAACGTCTCCTCCCATTGAAAGTATGTCGCCGGAAATCCTGAAATAAATCCAGAAATAATGCGAGTATCAGGACTTAAACCCTGGTGAATTGGGGATATCACTATCCCTCTGACCATATCAACCCCAGGTTGGTTCGCCCGAGCAAAACTTATTAAGTAAACAGTCGGAAAGTTGTTGTGCTAAAAGCTTACACATACCCCGTAAAGAAAAAAGCTCACACACTGAAAAAATATTGGTGATTTTTAATTTTTTTTCTTATTCTTCAATTATATTGTAGGAACTCGCCGCAAAAAATTAGAAAGTACTTTCTCCGTTTCATAATACTCCCTTCGTTCGAAAGTACTTGTCGGAGAAATGAATGTATCTAGATGTATTTTAGTTTTAGATACATCTATTTTAACAAGTAATTTCGAACAGAGGAAGTATAATAGAAACTTTGTTTTCTAGGCGTACAATCATAGATAGTGCCCGACTGAAGTATCCATCCTGCACCCCAGAGTCGTGTCGTGAACGGGTTCACCACCATGAGTGCAGGAGAGATTTGTGACGCATAATGTGTCGTGTCGCGTCGTGAACAGTGGTGTTGATGCAAGTGTGATGAACGGGTTCACCACCAAATATAAATTGTGAACGGGTTCACCCCCAGTGTCGTGTCGTGTCGTGAACGGGTTCACCTCAGTACCATGTTGTGTCGTGTCGTGTCGTGTCGTCATGGATTTGTGACGCCATGGGTGTCGTTGATGTGAAGGAGAGATCCTTTTGTTTGTTGCTAGTAAGCTTGCACGTGCAACATAACCAAACTCGTATCTGATGTGCTTGACTGTGATGCCATCAGCGGGGAGGAGGCGCTGGATCTTGCGGCGCCAGGGCTCGTCCTCGTCGAACACGCCGCGGCGGGCGTCGAGGATGGACTCCTCAGACCGAGCGAGGTCGGCGACGACCTCACCATCGTCGTAGTGGAAGAGAAGGTCATCGTGGACGAGCTGCTGGCGCGGGACGACAAAGAAGAGGTGAGGCGCTCGGCCTGGTCCTCGACGACAACGACGCGGCCGACGTCAGGGTCGAAGATGGCGAGGTTGACGTAGGAGTTGGAGTAGACGGAGTGGTAGAGGCCGCAGCACGTGACGGCGTCGGGCGCGCCCAAGAGGCGCAGGATCCGGTAGACCTCGAGCAGGTGAGCGAGGAAGGTGTCGTGCTTGAGCCGGCACTCGCCAGCGCCTGCGGCGCGCAGCACGGCGGCGAGGGCCGGCAGGTCCGGATCGCCGCACCGGTCCTCCTCGCCCCGCAGGTACGGGCGTGCCGCCGCCAGCGCATCGGCGAAGGTGGTGCGTGCCGCCATGAATCCCGTCGGTCATCGGTCGTCGTCGGCAGTGGAGAGACATCGGGGGCAGGGCAGGGCAGGAGGATGCCAAAGTTGTTTGTTTTGTTTAGCTGCTGGGCCACCAGTTGCCACTTGCCACTACACTCTCGAGAGGATGTGGATAGACAACCTTTGGCATAGAGAAGAGGTTGCCTACAATAGAGAAACGTGTTCGGCCGAAGTGAGGTAAAATGTTTGTTTTGTTCCAACTAATTCTTCTTTTTGGGTATGCATTCCAATTCGATAATTCATACTAGTAAAACCTTTTTGGCTTTTAATTTTGAATTTTCTAATATAAAATTGTGCGAGTCCCATCGTAGCTAGTGCCCGACTAAAGCGTGACCCCTCACGATTTATTTTTATTTTTTTTTTCGAAAAGGAGGAATACCCCCGGCCTCTGCATCTGGTCGATGCATACGGCCACTTTATTAATTATTAGCACAAAACCTTACAAAGTCGTACAACAGTAAGACCAAAGCCACCATCTTCGCAACCTCTGTCGCTACTCCTATCTAACTGATGAAGGGGCGCTGATGGTCTGGGCCTAATACCAAACAGACCTCGCAGCCAAACCTAACATCTAAGACCTGAGGTCCCAACCTGGACGCCTGCCGGGTATGGGCACCCACCAGTCCGGCGTGCTCCTCAACCAGGCCGCCCGCCGGGTATGAGGCCGCCACAACCACCTACCACATATCCATCTTCAGAGTTGTACTGTTGTAACAGCCTTGCCTGGTCTCGCTGCCGCCGACGCCACCACGACGCCAGACAGCGTCGACCTCCTGCGCGTGTCCGTCACCACACATCTGACGCCCAGCCTCCGCTGCTCCATGCCGCCAAGAGCCGCCGCCAAGAATATGTAGAATGAAACACCGCTCCACCGAAGGGAGGCAGCACACCCCCACCCCTCACCTGCAGACCCTTCCAACCGATCCCAATGTCCTTGGCGTCGCCTCCAGGAAGGTTACGGTGCCTAAGGCGCCGCCGACGCCCGATCCGCATCGGATCTTGGGCTTTCACCCGGACAAGGGGTGGAGAGGAGAGATGGTGCCCTCAGCAACGCCCCCAAGGAGGAAAGCGGCGCCAAAAATCGGCGTCGCCGCTGCCAGTCAGCCTAAGGCTGCCAAGGTTTCCCCCGGACACCGATCTGCTCCACCAGAACACACCGGAGGTGGATCCGGCAAGATCCAAACCAACCCGGGGACTGGGAAGGGATGCACGGAAGGGAGAGGGGCAATACCCGCCGTCGGCCGACCCCAAAGCGTTGCCGAACGCGGCCCGCGTCGCCGCGAGGTCAGCTTTGGCTGGGGCGCCGGCCGCCATCCCCGACCCCCAGCCCATCCCACCACCTCCCCCCGGAGGAAGAAGAGGAGGGGAAGGCCGAGGCCGCCACTGCTGCGCCGACCCCTCCGCCAGCCACGGCGGAGGAAGCCGCCCACAGCCCGCACCGCCCGCAGCCCGCCCAAACCGGATCTGGATCGAGCCGCCGCCGTCTCCACACCAGCCGAGCACCATCGAGGAGCAGACCATCACGCCACCCGCACACCCGCGCGCCATCCTGCGCCGATGAGGGGCCGCGCCGCGGCGCCCCGCGAGAACGCCGTGGCCAGATCCAGGTCGGCCGGCCCGCGCCAGCCCTCCCGAACGAGGCGATGAAGACGCCCCGCCGCCGCCGGCGCCGGCCGGGCTTCGCCCGGGCGCGCCCTTTGGCGGCGGCGGGAGGAGGAGGAGGAGAATAGAGGTGGAGAAGGGCCGGCGGCTAGGGTTCCTCCCCTGTCGCCCGCGGGAGCGCCAGAGGAGGAGGAAGATCGCATCCCCCCCTCACGATTTATAGGCGGGAATTAGGAATCACATATGTATAGAATTTTGATGGTATGCAACTTTTTTTCTTTGTGATGAAGGAGAATTCTCCTTTCAAAAATACTATTTACAAACTGGTTCAAGGAGAATCCCGTCCTCATATCCGACTTGTACAAGCCAATATCGTGTCATAAGCCTAGATAAATGTTGCATCTGGATGTGTCCTCGAGCCAACGAGTCATTGTAACTATGGTCGAGAAGTCATTACTGAAAGACCATGGATGTCACCTACCGCGGGGGGGGGGGGTGAGTAGGCGCTTTAAAATAATTACGGCTTAGGTTTGAACAAATGCAGAATAACCCTGTCGGTTAATTTGTCAAACACAAAACCTACAGTAGCTAGGCTCACCTATGTGCACCAACAACTTATGCTAAGCAAGATAAACAACTAGGTGATAGCAAGATATATGACAAGAAACAATATGGCTATCACAAAGTAAAGTGCATAAGCAAAGGGCTCGGGTAAGAGATAACCAAGGCACGCTGAGACGACGATGTATCCCGAAGTTCACACCCTTGCGGATGCTAATCTCCGTTTGGAGCGGTGTGGAGGCACAATGCTCCCTAAGAAGCCACTAGGGCCACTGTAATCTTCTCACGCCCTTGCACAATGCAAGATGTCGTGATTCCACTAAGGGACCTTGAGGGCGGTCACTGAACCGGTACAAATGGCATCCCTTGGGGGCGGTCACCGAACTCGTACACTTTAGCAACCCTTGGGGCCGGTCACCAAAACCCGCCAAATTGCTCCGGGCGATCTCCACAACCTAATTGGAGACCCCGACGCTTGCCCAGAGCTTTACACCATAATGATTGAGTTCCGAACACCACCAACCGTCTAGGGCGCCCAAGCACCCAAGAGGAACAAGCTCAAGGGTACCAAGCACCCAAGAGTAATAAGCTTCTCAACTTGTAACTTTCACGTATCACCATGGAGAACTCAAACTGATGCACCAAATGCAATGGAAAGGGCACACGGAGTGCCCAAGTCCTTCTCTCCCAAATCCCACCAAATCAACTGATGCTAGGGAGGAAAATGAGAAGAAGAACGAAGAAGAGAACACGAAGAACTCCAAGATCTAGATCCAAGGGGTTCCCCTCACTTAGAGGAGAAAGTGATTGGTGGAAACGTAGATCTAGATCTCCTCTCCCCCCCCCCCCAAAAAAACTAGTGAATTCATGGAGGGATTGAGAGATAGCAAGCTCGAAAAAGGTCAACAATGGGGGAAGAACACGAGCTTAAGAGATTAGGTCGTTGGGGAAGAAGGCCCCCTTTTATAGGTGGGAAAAAATCCAACCGTTATGCTCACAGCCCGCACAGAGC